TGGGAAAGCGCCAGTCTCAGCGAGGAGGAGGAGGGTGCCGACGGTGAATGGGTCGATGTGCGCCACTCTTCAGATGAAGAACAGCAAGAAATCGTAGGTCTTACAATTTCCTCTTACGAGTGTGTCACTCGATGCTTGTTAAGATGTAATTTATGCTGGGCCTTGTTGGGAAACTAACATTCGAATGCTCAGCTTGCACGCGAACTGTCGGCCGTCTAAGCCTTGGTTTGTCTGCCTTCCAAGTCCAGGAAGCTGAACAGCATGCCCGTGGAGGAGCGCAAAGCCAAAGCTGCCGCCGTCAGCACTAGTCGAGTTTTAACTCAGGAAGACTTCCAGAAAATCCGCATGGCCCAGATGAGGAAAGAACTTGACGCTGCCCCTGGGAAATCCCAAAAGAGGAAATACATTGAAATCGACAGCGATGAGGAGCCCAGGTAAAGCAGCACAGCCGCCCAGACAGCCCACGTGGTGATGGAAGCATTAGGGGAAGGAGTTCCACTTTTGTTTCGTATTTTTCCCTCACCCCAGGGGCGAATTACTTTCTCTTCGGGACATCGAACGCCTTCATAAGAAGCCAAAGTCTGACAAGGAGACGAGACTGGCAACCGCAATGGTGAGTGAGGGACATTGTTCCCAGTTCTTTAAACAGAAAGCACAGAGAGTGAAACGTAATCAAGAACTTGGATAGCCACAGAATGGCAATATTTTTTTAACGTTTTAAATAAACATTAACATAGAATAAAATGCACAGATATCAGGTGTTCAATTAGGTGAGTTTTGACAACGACATGTAGCCGTGTAACAAGATAGAGAGCATAGAAGGCAGTGTTGCACGTTCATGGCGTGGGGAGGCCTAGTACATCATCAAAGCCAAGAGGAAAGCAGGGGCGTGGTTGCAGTCATCAGCGGAAAGCCAGGAAGTCTGTCTCTGGCTGGTGCTGTGATTATTCGTGATTGTGGTCTGTCTACACTGCCAGTCTCATCCTCTTTACCTGCCCTTATCTCAGACACCATCCCTCACTAGCCCCACCTCACCCTCTGCCTTCCATTTGTACCGAAACCTGTCCAGATAAGTTTAAGAACCCGTGTCCTTTCTCCTCCACACCCTTGTGCGCAGTATCCTTAGTTCTTGAAAGGCTCTGCCCTGCCCTTCCTTTCCCTCACTGTGAATGCCTCATCCTGCCAAAAAACCCAGCTTACTTATCTCCCTTTCTGGAAAGCTCCTCCGGCCTCGGCAGGCTGAATTATGACCTTTTCTTCCACTGAGCTCCCCTTGCTCCATTATAATACTTCATGACCACTTCTTGGCTGCTTTGGACAGAGTCTTAGGGAGCAAGGACAGTGTTCTGTGCATCTTGTGTCCTTGGCATCCAGTAGAGCGCCTGGCACACAGGAGACTTGTGTGCGGATTAGATGGCCCCTGCATCGTGTTGTTTAAAAGGAAATGTCAAACTTTTTGTGCTGATAGGCCGGAAAGACAGACCGAAAAGAATTTGTGAGGAAGAAAACAAAAATGAATCCATTTTCCAGTTCCACAAATAAAGAGAAGAAAAAACAGAAGAACTTTATGATGATGCGGTATAGCCAGAATGTCCGGTCAAAAACCAAGCGTTCCTTCCGAGAGAAGCAGGTGAGTTCTGTTGAAGCTTGGTGGCAAGAACAGTACCATAGCGACTGCCTCACGTTTGAGACAGAACTGTGCCTTCTGAAGACCGTGCGTTGTGTGTGTCTCGGGGCTAATGGGAGCATTGCTGGATAGCAGGGAAACGTGGGAAGTGGTCGGGGCCTGTAATTCCAGACCTGACTTGGTTGAGACTCAGCTGTAGGGCCAGAAGGGGGTCCATTTTTCTCTATAAAAGTAAAGGGGTGCAAACTAGATCATCTCTGAGGTCCTTTCCCATGTTAAAATTCTCTGATATTTGGCTGGACGTGCTGGCTCACACCTGTAATCCCAGCACTCTGGGAGGTCGAGGCAGGAGGAACAGTTGAGGTCAGAAGTTCAAGACCAGCTGAGCAAGAGCGAGACCCTGTCTTTACCAGAAATAGAAAAAATTAGCCAGGCATGGTGGCGAGTACCTATAGTCCCAGTTGCTCGGGAGGCTGAGGCAGGAGGATCGCTTGAGCCCAAGAGTTTGAGGCTGCACTGAGCTATGATGATGCCACTGTACTCTACCCAGAGTGGCAGAATGAGACTGTCGCAAAAAAAAAAATTAAAAAAATTAAATCCTCTAACATTTAATCTGTGAAATATATTATCAAAATTAATTGAATAAGTTTTTAGTGCCTATTTTGTGGCTGGTACTTTTCAGAAAGCCGGTAAGTTCTGTTGTCATCATCCTTCCTATGTATGTCCCTTTGCAAAGCCTTACGTTTGCAGGCCTTTGGGATTTCCTTTTACCCATTTGTGGCCTTTGAATGGTAATCCCATGCCGCACAGGGGGCTCGATTGTTTCACCTGTTCGTTGTATTAAGACAAATTTATGCTTCTGTATCTTCCTCTTTTGGGAGTGTACCAGAGTGTATCTAAATGTCGTTCTGAAGAATCTCCAGGAAATCAGCGTCAGGCTAAGTAGTCCCACATTCTGAACTAGTGTTCCTAAATCGCTAGCCAAGGACAAGCCCGCCAGGACTGGACGCAGCGGCCTTCCAGGGCAGTGCTGTGTCTGTGTGTGTGGGTACCGTAACGGTCAGTATTAACTGAATTGACGTACCCTTTAAACGCTACCTATCTGTTTGTTTAGTCTTTCTGGTTCTAAACTGTGTTCAGTAACATCATGTAAATAATAAAGTGACAGCATTTTTAGATGGAAGTTATTGAAATTGGGGTGAGAGGAAAGGTGCCATTTAAGTTCTTTTTTTTTTTCTTTCTTCTTTTTTAAAGAGACTGGGTCTTGCTCTGTCACCTAGATTGGTCCGCAGTGGGGTGATCATAGCTCACTGCAGCCTGGAACTCCTGGGCTCAGGCGATCCTCCTGCCTCAGCCTCTAGAGTAGCTGGAACTACAGGCGCCACCACCACGCCCAGCTAATTTTTTCTTAAGAGATGGGGTCTTGCTATAATTGTCCAGGCTTGTCTCGAGCTCCTGGCCTCAAGCGATGCTCCCACCTCAGCCTCCCCAGTGGCTGTGGTGACAGATACAAGCCACCTCGCCTGGCTCCCATTTAAGATTTGAAGTACTCCAAATTTTGCCACATTCTCCTAAATTTATAGTTTGATTTAAATCCGTTTGTCTATCCTTTACTGGCCCTTAATTACATTTCAGGGTTAAGGAAACAGTAATCACCCACTTGGTGGACCTTGCTTCATTGTGAGGTTTAGGCGACTTTTAGTTAATGGCATTCCCCCTCCCCCACTTCCCCTTTTTTGGCATGATGGAGAAGCCCTCCTTTGTTCCTGGTCAGCGCCTCTGAGTCATAAAACATCTGTCTCAGAGGTTGAAGAGTTTTTATTGAAGAGTGAATTAAGACTTCATTGGGCTGGGCGCAGTGGCTCACGCCTGTAATCCTAGCACTCTGGGAGGCTGAGGCGGGCGGATTGTTTGAGCTCAGGAGTTTGAAACCAGCCTGAGCAAGAGCGAGACCCCGCCTCTACTAAAATTAGAAAGAAATTAATCGACCAACTAAAAATATATAGAAAAAATTAGCCAGGCATGGTGATGCGAGCCTGTAGTCCCAGCTACTCAGGAGGCTGAGGCAGGAGGATCGCTTGAGCCCAGGAGTTTGAGGTTGCTGTGAGCTAGGCTGATGCCATGGCACTCACTCTAGCCCGGGCAAAAGAATGAGACTCTGTCTCAAAAAAAAAAAAAAGACTTCATTGGGCATATGCACTTCTTGGTTCAAGAATGCTTTTTTCTTGTTCCCCAATTTTCTCACCTTTTGGAACCTGAAATTAATTAGAATTTCTGTGCCTCTTTCCTTGCCCTGTATTTTCTTCAAGATCTCTCCTTTATAAAATGTAACTTCAGGTTCCTGATTTTCTCTATTCCCTCCTTCATTTTAGACCATTGCTGTTCAATAGAAATACAATAGAACCACACATATATTTTTAAAATACGAAAGTAAAAAGGTACACAATTCTGCTTTCGTTCTTCATTTTCACCTTGTGTACTGCCAACACAAAGTGATTAAATAAGTTACAAATTAGAGCTCATATTGACTAGAATATTTTGTCGTAACTACAATTGTCAGGGTTTTGGTTTCTGAGTTAATGTCTTTGTGTTTGAGCCATTGTAAACAGTAAGTGTTTAGCATTTATTTATTGTAAAATTTTCTTAGTTCATTTACTGCATTAAACTCATTTGAAAATCAAATAACAGAACATTTTTCTTTGTTTCAGATTTGTATATTTATAGTTATTGTAAATCTGCACAAATGCTGAATGCCATTTAAAAATCTTTAAATGATCTATATGTGCCATATTTAGTGGAATTTATGTGATTTTGGAAAAGATAATTGTGAAGAAAAATCTGTTTTCATGTTGGTTTTAATTTAGACAATGTATCCCACCCACAACTCCAAAATCTTAAGAGCCTTAGAGACGAGAGAAGTCCTGTGCATCATCGTTGGAGATGGGTGACGCTCTAGTCTCTGCGTTCTGTGGCTGTTCCTGTTTTGAGCCTTTGTCCCCATGAGGTGGGAACAGCAGTCAAGAGCTTTGCATATCTCTTAGCAGTGTGGCGGCCTTCACCCTGGATATACAGATTTGATCTGTTATGGAATATTTTACCATTTGTAGTTTTTCAGGATGATTTATTGACTTAGTGATTTCTTTTTAGTAAACTTTTAGATAACCAAATTAGTATAATGGGGTACCCAAGAGTTATGTTTAAATACTTTTTTCTTATCTTTATAGCTGGCGCTACGAGATGCACTTTTGAAAAAGCGAAAAAGAATGAAGTAACTTCCAAGCAAGTTTTCCATTCCAAGGAGAATGGCTAAGTTTGTGTCATTACTTTGAGAATTATTAAATCAAGCATGTTTGTTTACGTTTAAAAGTCCAGAAGCACTATGTTGTGAAAACCACAGTAGATGTGGCAGCAATTTTGTGTTTTTTATTTTGGCAGTGGGTAATGGTGGGAGTGTTAAGAGATGTAAATAGCAATGGTGTTGTAAAATCATTTTATTTAACATTCATGCAAAAAAATTGAGTGTCAGCGTGTTGTCCGTGTACATGCAAAATGAATGAGCCATAACCCCGTCACTCAAGGCATTCACAGCTTAGTGGGGGCCAGGTGTGTCTCTGTGTGTTTACGATGCTGTAGAAACAGTTTAGTAGAGGTAGATCATATTTCTGTGGAGTCACTGAGGCCTTGTAGACTAACTGTGGGGACAGGAGTTCCATATTCTCTTAAAACAAAACAGGACAATGTTACAAGAGTAAGAAGTTCTTACTTGTAAATAGGCTTACCTGCTGAAAACAGGTCCCTGCTGTACAGATTTTGGGTAGACAATTTAGCTGTTTTATTAATCTAACAGATTTAAATTTTTTTTGACTGCCCTGTAAATGCTTTTTGGTTAAGACCTCACTTTTAAAATTGCCTTAAGTATAAATAGTAACTTTGGAACATACTTAGTTCATCGTTTGACATTGGTTCCCACAGCCTTCTTTCACCCCGTAATATTTTTAGTCCACTGTTTGCATTGTCCAAATAAAACGTTTCTAATGTCTTTCTTGTCTGGCGTGGCGTGTGTCGTTCTCCCTTTCCTAGGCATGCTCGAGTTGATCTCAGGGAACGGTGGCTTTG